ACACTAAACGACCGAATCTTATCTGGCCGATCGTGCGTTCTATTTCGCCGACAACAACTACTATTATTTTTTTCTCCGGCAAACGCATGTGTCTATATGTACACAAATGTATGTATTTTGATAGTTTGTTTAGTTTGTTGTAGGTTTTTTTTTATTTTTTTTTTGGGGCTGGCTGGCGAAGCGTGTGGCTGATTCTATATAATCTATGATGATTATTATGTTAGTCTAGGTCTGGCCACCGACGAACTATGCGTATGCTAGCTGGCGAATATCATCTGTTGGTTATTTTTATCTAGTTTTCGGGCTTGACATATATTAACCATTTTTATAGGTTGAGTTGGCAGAGACTGACGGCAGACAGGAGGGCAGATAACGATAAATTGGGGGTAATTGTATGCAATTAACAATAGATTATATAATAAGGGTTAGGAAGGGGTAAAACATAGAAATGTTTACATTAAATATTGAAGTTAGGGATATTTTACTAAAGAGTTTTAAGAATAATTTAAATGTAAATCTCAACAGATGTTTAGAAATATTTTTTGTTAAGTATTAGTTAAATTAACGTAGGGGTAAGTTATACGAAAGTAATATTTATTTATATTTGTTGTTTCATAGTTTTACTGTAACCTTAAAAATTTCTATTTTACTACGAGTTAAAATAATTAAAAAAATAGATTAACAATAAGTTTCCCAATTTTCATATGATTTCACCCGAAAAGTATGCTATACTTATTTGGCAGAACCAAATTCTCTTCAAGCTATTAAACCCAAAAACGTAGCCAAATGTAATATGGCTACATAATTTAACTTTTAAGTTAAACTGATTTTAAACACACACATCAAATAGCAAGTAATTATCCTTTTATTTTGCGAAAATGTATGCAAAATACGAGGCAAAGTAAAACTTTTTTGCTGACCGAAATAAAAACAAATTATAAACAGACCTGGGCCATTATTATTCACCTACTTTGGGCCACACACAGGCCAAGTAAGCAAAGGAGTAAAAATGGGAAAGGGCCAAAAAAAGGGCTTGACCTGAATTTGCTTATCAGCCAACAGCATCCGAATGACTTAAATATCTCATTTAACGCCAGACCAAGTACGGTTGGATTTCTGGGGGGCTTACACGCACACGCATATTTACAACTAAATATAATAAATTTCAACATGTTTATCCCCTTTATTTTGAGCACTTTTTTCACCCACACACACACAGACACACATATCCTTTATCCCAGTTTTCCCCAGGATAAGAGTGTCTTCTTCCTGCTTCCCTTACTTTTGCTATGTGTGTGTTTTTGTGAGAAAGTGTGTCAGAAAGTTTTATATTTTCCCTGGCTATTACTTTCACTACTTTCGAGTTGGAGTTGTGAAACTGTGTTATGGATTTCCTTTTATTTCGTTATTTTTCTGTTTAAGGGTTGGCCTTTTCCTTACCCTGCTCCTCCTCCTCATTAGTTCTTTTAGCTGTCGTGCTTGTAATGCCACAAATTAACGATGTATGTAATTAATATCTCGAATTGGCTTACAATTTGCTTAAAATTTGTCATATTTGTTTCACGACAGTTTTATGGGTTTTTGGTAAGAGCTTGTTGCCAAGTTGTTAGGGGAGAGATTTTAGTTGGGCTTTTGGAGCGTGATGGGAATTTTTGGGATAGTAGATATGAGCACTGGTAAAAAAAACGCATAGTAAAATCAAATATTTTTTTAGTTGATTTCATTTACTACTTTTCATAGTTAAATCAAATAAATAAATCATTGATTTTAATAAAAAGCATATTTAAACCTTCATTCAAATATAAAAATAATAAAATCGAAGGGAATTATATTTGAAATGATATTACTGATGTTGAAAACCAAAGTCGCAATAGTAGTTTTTAGTATTGTAAATAGTAAGTTATATACATAGTATAATCAATGTTTTTTCTGATCCGATTAAATACTTTCGCAATTTATTTTGAATAAAAAGTTTATTTGACACAATTATTTTGAAAGTCAAGATTCAAATAATATTAAATTAAATTTCCATAAAATGTATGAGTGAAACGTAGCATTTTTAGTTTTAAAAAGTTATATGTGTTATGGATCGTGTTAACTTTACATTTAAGTTGAACTTATCCACTCGCGCGTAACATGGTGCGATGGATCAATGGGTAAGGCATCTACCTCTGACGCGAGAGGACCCCGGTTCGAAACCGTCTGAGGCAGAGTAAGTAAAAAGTTTTTAAGAAGCGTATTTAACATTTCCTTAACATTTATAAGAACAATATTGTATAAAAAAAGTTGTAAGAATTACTAATCAAAAAAAAAAAAAAAATAAGTTGTGGTGTCAGCGGGACTTGAACCTGGTACCCCCGAGCACAAAATAGTATCAGAACCTAGCCCTTGACCCCTGAGCCATGCCCATATTATTTCCTAACGAGGCAGAATGCTCTTTTAAGTTCACAGTAATATTTTTGATTGTAATGACAATAAATAACTGCATTTCAAAATTAAAGTAAATACTTTAGGCGCTCACTCGAAAAAAAAAACAAATTTGTAAATTATTATTACAAGATTCTAGTCAAATCAAATACAAAAATCTTTGAATTTACTAAAAAATATTTAAAACATTATTAACTATGCGCCATATACGATTTTACTATTTTCATGTTAGGATCTATTTCGCTGGGAAAAATAATTGAAACAATGGTAAAATAGTGACATTTACCATTTTTTTTTTACCAGTGAGGTTATTATAATTATTAAATTGCTTATTAATTAATTAAATTTAAGAAGGTAATAAATAAGACCTATATTTTGACAAAAATTTATTTTTTGTTCCCATATTTTTACTCCAAATTTGTACTCCGAAATTTTTAAAGTTTTAGCTTTGTTGCTTTTCCAATAATACCTTAAAGTTCTTTAAAACCGTATCCCTGCTTAAAGCTATTTTCCCCCAAAGACTCTATCTCATTGATTGATAAATATTTCAAGTGATTTCACTTTGATTCCGGATTTCCACACTCGCATGCCAGTTGTCGTCCCCTGTCAAATTCAGAAAATATTCCTCGTAGATGGGAAACGAAGAAGCCAGCGACGAAGAAGTCAAAGTCGAAGTAAGCCACTAAAAACTTATCGCGCATATATAAATATATAAATTTTAATTAGAGCTCGCGCACACACACACAGAGGCAGTTGAAAAGTTAGAAAGAGATAGAGAGAGAGCTACACAGATACTTTCCCTTTTTGCGACCTTAATTAATTTTTGGCCCAGTGACATTGTTGGAGTGCAAAGGAAAGTGGGAGGGAATTGATTTTCCTTATTACCAGCTATTTGTATATACCAAAGACGGAAAATGAAAACGAGAATGAAAATGAAAGTGAAAGTGCAAAAGCGCAGCGCGCAAAAGTATCTCAGGGATACGAAAAAGTTCTGGGGGATGAAGAGGAGTCGAGTGGTTTTTGCTCTTGCCTTTTCAAGTGGCATGGGTAGTTGTTGTCAAAGTAACGAGTGGGCTGTCAGACTGTCAGGACTCTCGGCTTCCACCTCCTTTTTTGCCAGGATCTTTCTCTTTCCCTGCTGAAAACGCCTACCATTCAGTAAAGTCGCCGTCGCCTTCGCCCCTCCTGTCAGAAGTAAGTAAACTAAAAAGACAAAGGCCTCGCCTAAAAGTGTGCTACTCATAAAGAAAATAGGGGGGGCTTCGGTTATAAGAGGGGGGAGAGTCTTATGGCCAAGTATATAAAGAAGCTGCCAGTAGCATATCTTTCTGCTGCCACTTTTCCTGCTTTTTTGTGGCTGTGCTGCTGCTGCTTTTTCAAAGATGTTGCTGCTGCTGCTGCCGTTGTTGTTGCTGTTGCACGTTGCTGGGGCAACTTGGACATTCGGCCACGAGTCCCAGCCTCAACAATGCAAAAACAATAGCAGCAACCCGGGCAGCTATAAAATCAGTCAGAAATACAAGCAACACGAGCAGACACAGCAGCAACATTAGCACAAAAAACAGCAGCAACAACTGCGAATTTTCGGGTTGCTACTTGCTACTTGCCACACGCAACTTTTGCTGCTCCCCTTGCCATTTTCACAAAACCCCCGACCCTCAAATTCCCTTTTCCTTTTCCAAAGTTCGTTGGAAAATTCGAATGTCAGTTGTAATAGCTTCGGCATATAAATCAATAAAATGATTGTACGCACCTTTGGGGCCCTTACCCGCCCCTGGCCACGCCCCCTTCCACCTCCACTTCACCTTTCTCCCTCCTTTATCCAATTCTCGTCCACGTCCTTTGGCTTCCTTGCAGCTTCTACTGTGCTTGTGTGCGTGCTGCTACTGCTGTTGTTATTGCAACGTTGTTGCCCCAAAATATTCACAAAAAGGGGTGGCACTGCGAGGGTTTATTAAGAACTTGGGATATATTAAAAGACATAATTTCTGCTTTTTTATTTAAACTATTTTTTTTATGGAAGTTAGCTGACCATAAGAATTATTCAACGTCCTTTTGGCAAGTTAAAGTTAATATATAAATTATAATTTGATTGGGTGATGCTCTGCATAAAAATAAATCGAGCTTATTCCAAATATTACTGGATTTCCCCTTTTTTTGCTACACTGTTATTCCCTTTTAATATTAAAATTTCCTCTATATTTTTTCTATTCATCTGCAACTTTAATGTTTCATAGTTTATAACTAATGTAATATGTATTCTCTTTTAACGTTCTGCTAAAATATTTGTTTGCAATTCTTTATTACTTTTTTTAAAGGGGCGGACTCTCAAAAAATTTGAAAAGCTCTGTGCAGACTTATCAAAAATAGGCGTTTTTTTCTTAGGAAACGCCTAATAGTTTTAAGCTCTGACCGAGGTATCTTTTATTGCAATTTTTTGGACATGGATCAGTACAAATTAAATCGTTGTCGGGCTCTCATTCAGGGTGAGTGTTTTTTAAGATTTTATAGTTATAGTTATTTTATTTTATTTCTTTTTAAAATCAATTTAAACTTTAGTTATTTGCAGGACAATGCAGCTCCTTCTCGGATCGCTAAGCGCTATTTTTGTGCTTTTAATGCAAGAAACAAACGGGGAAATTCCCGGTTGTGACTTTTACGACACTGTAGATATTTCGGCAGGTGAAAAGTTGACAAATGGATCGTATTTATTTGAAGGCTTACTCATTCCCGTCTGTTTGTGGTCTGAATATGATTATAAACTTTTGCCGGGTGGCTCAAAGGAGTCGGTGGGCAGGCACGTAAGAGGATGTGTTTGCAAATTAAGGACCTGCATCAGATTTTGCTGCCTCGAAAATCACAAAACCCTTAACGGCGTTTGCCATGGTGACATGACCATGGATGAGATAAACAAGATCGATCCATACGTGAACGTAACCTTCAGCAACGGAACGGTGGCCAAAAAGCACTTCAAAGAAGACCTCATTTTGCAATATGATTTGCCCAAGCCATGTGAAAACGAAATGCACTACATAGATCACGAAATGCTTTTCAACGACTTTACATTGTTTGAGGTTTTTATCAGCTTATTCATAGGCCGCAAACGACGAGTTTAATCTTCATTATTTATTTTTAGAATGGAACCTTTCTTCTCCACTTTGGCAACATATTCATAGAAAAGCGGGAATACTGCCTTCAACATGTTAAAACTCTAGGTGACGATTTTCGAATTATGCCCCACTTTTGTCCTCTTTTCGTTGAGGAATCTAAAATATGGGAGACTCTTGGTAAGCTTATGCTCTTATATATACCCAAAAAACATCCAAAAACTGAAAATAATGTTAGTATTACATAAAACAAGATCCTGAAAAACTACCTCTAAAAAATTAATTTTATGTAAGCTTAAGCTTGGTAAGCTTATGCTCTTATATATATGCTCTTATATAAAAAAAAATTCAGAAAAATTACCTCTAAAAATTAATTTTACGTATTTTCTTCTTTCCACAGCGATGATAATATCACTGATATCTATACTTCTTACGATCAGCGTGTACTATTTTCTTAAGAAGGCTCAAAACGTGCTCGACAAGTGCTTCATCTGCTGTATGGTCTGCCTGTTTCTATACCATCTAATTTCGTTCCTCAACTTCTGGAATCTATCGACGGATTTATGCAGTTTAGCAGGTTAACTAAATCTTAAAATTCAAATATGAAAATAATAAACTGTATAATTTTAAATATTATTTTCAGCATACCTGAGCTACTACTCCTTCATTTCCCTGTTCCTTTGGCTTTCCATCATCAGTCTGCACCTATGGAATACGTTTAATGGCAGCAATTTCTTGACAAACCGCTTCCTGCCTGAGAACCAGTTTTTGGCTTACAACACATACGTTTGGGGCATAGCGGCGATCTTGTCCGGAATCACTTTTATCGCTGATAATGTCGTAGAGAACGAAGACTGGAATCCTGGCATGGGCCACGGTGTTTGTTTTATCGCTAGTGAGTTGCGATTTAATTTATCGTATGCCCTATAATTAAAGCATTATGTTTTATCCTAGGTTGGGGTTATGCTATATGGCTGTACTTGAATGGTCCAATTCTATTGCTGATTACTCTCAACGTAACCATGTTTATCCGAACGGCTAGGATCTTAACTTAATACCAAGAAGAAAAGCTGACAATCAACACGATCAACAAGCAGACGTAAACCCAATGATTTTATGTTGCTAGCATATAATTTTAAAAAACCATTTCAAATTCCTATTACAGTTACAGCTTATTTCTGCGGGTCTTTATCTTCATTGGTGTGTCGTTCAGTTTGGAGATTTTCGGGCGCTTTTTGCCTTATTATATTATGCGGGTTATTGACTACATTGCCTTGTCCCAGGGTATCATCATACTTGTTCTCATTCTTCTGAATGGCAGCACAATGCAACTTCTAAGAAAAAGGTAAGTAGTTGGTGAATTTTCAAATAACCTTCAAATAACATTATTGTATTTTCCCGAACAGCATCAAGGGTGAGATGGTGGAAGACTGTGCGGAAGATTTTTCGGCCGAGAATTCCGCAAATTTCCGTAAATTTAATCAAGGTGTGCTTTAATAGGTAATGAAACTCATTTTACCACTGATAAGCTTTTCAAATAAATAGTAATATTTAAATCACCCTTTTATTACAATTTTTTATTTACAGAGCCCATTGAAGATTAATAATTATAATATCTAGTAATTCATATTTTGTTACGAACTATCCTACAAAATTAAAATTGATCTTTAAAAAATGGTTATTCATTATTTTTAATTTTAAATATTTTATATACTATATACTGTATCCAGAGTTTTTGGCATAACAACATTTTTCGGCATATAACAACTAATACGTTTTTATTACGGAGAGTTAAAAATAATATTTTAATAATATATCTTTTAATTTTTTGTGTACCTACTTAGTTATGACTTACAAAAATGTTAATAATTCCCGAAACATCAGTGGCAACCCTCGCTCGGTAAGCTGTGAGCTTCAGGTGCGCCTGCTTGTTGCTATTCCGAATGCTCCTGCCCCTTCCAAAAAAAAAGAAGAAAGCCCACCTCCGCCTGGGCCATTTTGCTGACTGTTGATGATGATAATGGGCCTTCCCCTATATATACACTTTTTTCCTCAATTTTTTCGGTTTGGGTTCTTGTGGGCGTGCCCCATCCTGTCCGTTGCGTACGAAGTAAAAATTTTTACGCATTTTTGATTTATGGCCCCAGCGCAAATAAATTGTCGACGTTGTCAACTGTATATTGAAAATGCATTGGGCGCCAAATAAGGAATGTAACAAAGAGGAGGGCAAAAAAGAAAAAATCTTAAAGCCAGTGATTCGCCTCAGCAATCTGAGCAATAATGTTAATGATTATAGCCGGGAATTGAGGTAACAGCTGTAAAGTTGTTACCGAAATATTAAAAGAGGAAAGGAGTTGGGCATGGGGTTTTTATTTTGGACTCAAGCACCTGTGGTTCACATATGCAGCAGCCCAGGGGGCCAAAAAGCAGACTTGGCTTCGAGGGAACGCTGCCCTGCCCGTTTTTGGCCATTAAAAGTTTTTACAATGCAGACACACGCACTTCGCTGGGGCCCCAAAAAAAGAGAAAAAATGTTTGCCAGTAGGTAGGGAAAATGGTTTGGGGCCAAGTAACGTGGCACTTTTCACAACACAACGGCTACTTTTTCCCGTAGCTCAGTTTTTGCTCTTTTTTCTCGGTAGGTTTGGTTTGGTTGGCAGGGCCAACAGTGCGCATACTTGATGGGCCTCAGCCATCGTACTTCCCTTACTTTCGATTTTTTTTTGGCAGGACTCCCTCCTTCCCTCGTGATGGAAGACCACAACACATGCGAACTAAAGTTGCTTCTGGCCAGGGGTTTACGGCCCCCATCCTGCTGACTTCTTCGCTTGGTTACAACTAGGACACGTCGAGTGGCTCTTGAGCTTGGATTGCCTGCCTTGGAACAAGTTTAAATTGCTCCGATAACCTGGAGTTCTTGGAGATAAGCTACTTAAATTTGTCTGCCAATAAGCTGTGTGCTAAGGAAATGGCCAATGGCAATTTAAAGGATTTAGTATTTGTATAGAAAGTGCAAATAAATAAAAAATTGCATTATTCTACCTCACAAAATTGTTGAATATTTTTATTTTCATAAAAAGAGATAAGACTAGCTTTTCTTAGAAATATAAAGATATTTTTAGACTCAAGTGAATTTGATTTTTCCTGCCCAAAGGACATGTAAAAAATTTCTAAATAATTTTAGAATTACCAAAAGGTAGCAAAAAGTACCAAGAACCTTAAATTACATTTTCAAAGAATTTGGGTTAAATGTTGCAGAAAAACCTTTTCCTCGTCTTAGGATTTTCTCCATAATCCAGGCAACACCTCATTAAAGTTACATTGAAGCTACATCTCACATCTAACTAACGAGCCATCCACTTTAGCCTGCATATATAGCTAACCCAGCCCCAACTCCCCCTTTTTCTCACCCCTCATACACACACGCACCCCCATGAGGGTGACACACACACATGCACATATTAGGAAAGAAAAAAACAAGGATGGACGGACATCGGCTGACGTTGCTGTGACAGCAAAGATAACGCAATAACAACAGCAGCAATGTCAATGCATGTGGCAAGCAAATGACCAGCAGGACCTCCCTCACAAACACACCCACACCGAAACACACATACACATACACACACGCAGGAAGACCCGCTGAGCATGTGATCTATGCCTATCTGATGTATTTTAATGGTGCTCACATATATTTTTCATTATTGCTCCTGCTGCCTGTTGACCAGGAGGTAAAAGTTCTACGAAATAAAATGTGAATCGAATAAAAAATAGACACTTTTAGGAATATTATTGAACAAAATAATGTAATACTAAATATAATATCTTAAATAATAAATAACTATAAGTAAGTAATTTTTTATTTTATATTTTAATATACGAGTTACATTATCTTTAATTTATTTATTTATACAACAAAAAAAATCCAAAAAAATTCTATCTTATATTAGGAAATATTTTTTAGTTACTCCCCGTACTATTGAGCATACCCTAGACATACCCTTTACCTATCCACAAAGTAATACTCTCGTTAGCCCCTCATTTACCCGCCCCCCGAATTTTTTTCCTTTACCCATTCCTCGCTTATTACGTATACGCAGTGTCTGATTCCTTCCCCTTGCAGCGCAGACCAACAATTTATATCTATACACCAGAGGCCACGATTTTTTTGCCAGCTACCATGTGGATGTGGATGCAACGCATTGGGGCCGCTGGCAAAAAGCCACCCGCACCTAAATCCTGACCCAGTCCCAGTTAGAATCCTAGCTTCCTAACCTCTCGTCCCTTCTTTTTTTTTTTGGTTCTTTATCTGGTCGTGCTGCGGAATTTTTTCGTGATGATATGCGATGAAGTATGAGACGAGGAGGTTGTATACGGACAATGTTTTGGGGCTGATATTTTTTATGGCCCGTTGAGATTGCAATTTGAAAATCGATAAATTGTAATTAATTTAATGGTCACAGCGACAAGCAACCAAAAGAGACAACAAATCATGCGGCATGTGAATAAATCATAGATGCTGCAGTGAAAAAAGGTACCTGAGAACTTCCAGGACTAGTAAGAATATATAATAAATCATTTTTAAAGAAGCTATAGGACATCCAACTAATTAGCCACAAAAATGTGACCCAATGGCTGCTATAGAAACACATTTTAAATTGAGAAGGCATGGGAATCCGAAAATTAATAAGAAAAGGTAAAACCCATAGTTAAAGACTTTAATCCAATAATATAAATTTGAAACTTAATCTGTGATGCAACTCAAGTCTTGAAGTCGCCCAAGTTTTAATTAAAATTTCGCTGTGACCGGGAACATATTTCCCAAATGCAGCAATGAAAAAACAATTTCCACATTCCTTATTATAGAAAATTTACGCTGTCGCTGGGTATTTGCATAATTTCCACCACCCATCCACCCACCGAAAGGCCAGAAAGAACCAGATCGACTGGGATTGCTGATTAGCAGTCCCCAAACACCACCCCCCGCCCTTGCCATTTTCCACCCCCTTTACGTTTTCCACCTTGGTAACTGCGGTCCAGCCGGCCAGCATTTAATTACCTTGGAGAAAAAAGCGTGGAAACCGAGCACAGAGAAATTGAGCTTGAGGTGGGGGAAAGGGAAAAGCAAGGAAAACGAAAGGCCTAACCTAATTTTCTCAAATTTCCCAAGCAACGAGATGTGGGCAGTACAACTCTGGCTGGAATTTTCAGATTCGGAGCTTTGGTTTCTCGCCAAATCTGCGAAACAGTGTGTTCAGGGTGCTAAAAATGCAAATGCACAAAATGAATATTCAACAGGAGAAAGACTGTCTGTTTTGAGGAAAAGAAACAAACAAAAAATGCTTACAAGAAGATTGCTTTCGAAGGTAACAATAGAACGGATTAAAGATCCCTGTCAGGGAGAAAGCTAAACTGTTCTAAATTTGTTAAATGATCAAATAAATATATTTAATAAAGATACAAGTAAAAAAATTTTAAAAAAAAAAAAAATATACAACCTACAAAATTGATTAAGTAAAGAAAAAAAGGAGAACTAGTATGTTACAAATAGGTATAAGGAAATAAATAAAAAAAATCCTTATTCCTGTTTCAAATGTCCATAAAATCGAAAGGTAAAATAGAAATATTACAATAGGACAGCAGATAGCATAAACACGTCTCACCCTTGACCTTCTTTTCTGATTCTCCCCCTTTCCCTTCCACAAAAACTCACGAAAACAGAAGCACACATTCAGTTTTGCATTATGTTCATGTACCTACTCTACGCATAACAACGAAACAACAAAGAACAACAGCGGCGAACAACAAAATAGAAGCAAAAGCAACAAACAATGATTTTCATGGTACGTAAAATTAATTAGGGCACTGAGACAAAAATCCTCAAATTTCAATTGAGCCGCAGCGCCTTGTCAATGAGGCCACGTGGGAGTGAAAGAGATGGCAGAGGGGTGGGGGAAAGGGACGGGAAATAATACTCATGCACTGAAAACAAGGAGTCGAAGAAGAGGAAGAAGCTGCCCAACTAAAAATATCAAGGACCCAAATGAGAGGGTGGTGGGGGGATGGAAGAAGCTGCTGGGGAAACATAATTACTCTGCATCTGTGTGAGTTTGGGTGTTATTGTATTTGTGCGTAGGCTGAACAGAGGTTTCGACTACACCGAAAGAATAAAAATTTCACTGCAGCAATACAATAAAAAAAACATTTTTAGTTAATATTTCTAAAAAATTAAGTTGTCAGTGAAAAATTAAAATTAAATAAACATTCTTAAGAATCCCTATTGAACTAAAAATTTTTATAAATAACTCAACTTTGAATGCATTTTTAACGATAGTACTTTAAAATACCACATAAAAACAAAATGTTTTTTCTTGTCACTTTTTTTTTTAATTTATGTTTTTTTAAATTTAAATTAGAATTCTAAGTGTATGTGTTGTCAATGCAAGCCGGCTTCGAAGATTCTTCTTGTGTTGCCGCTTCTTGTGTTTCCTGTCTGC